CTCTCTCTCTCTCTCTCCACATACCTGCATATCCCCTTTGACCCCATCCCTCTCGTGATTCAGAGCCCTTCGTCATTGTCCCGCTCTCTCCTTCCCTTACAACGCCTGTTCCCCCTCCCTTGGCCCTGAGCCCGTCTCCTGCCTTGCAAGGCAACTCTCCTTCCCCACCTTGACCGCATCCCCCTACACGACCTGCATTCCTCGCCCTGTTACCCTTTTGCGATCTTTCCCCTGAAACTTCATCGGTTCCTGCATCCTCACTGTGAGTGGTGTGACATTCCTTCATCGATAATATTCTCTTCCTCTCAATCACACATCCTGATCGCCCCCCTTCCAATCCGCGCTGCGCATCCCCTTCTTCCCAAATTGGGTCCCCGACCTACAAACACCCTCCTCATCTCATTTACTTTACAGGACCCTCCTCGACGTCTTCCCCCTCCACAACCTCTCCTTACGCCTCGACAAACTTCCCTTGCATGCTTGTCCCTATCCCGATGACTCTCCTTCTGCTTCCTCTGTTGTCGCATCCGATCCCGACCGACCACATCCTGACCCGCTCCTCCTCCTGATCCCGCATCCTCCCCCCTCCCCCTCCCCCCTTCGTCCTTCTCCTGCTACTCCAACCCCTCAAGATTTCGACGGCGTCCTTCTCCTGCCTGCCTGACCAGCCTGTTGACCTCCCCCTAGTGTTCCTTCTCCCCCTGCCTCTCCACATTCACGGCACGATCCCCGCCTAACCTTCCGATAGCGGCCGTGCACAAATCTTGCCCCACTTGCAACACAGCACCCCCGCAAAAAAATAGAGTTGCAGACCTTAACGAATGGATAGAGGAGAGGAGGGATGTAGAGCGGGGAGGAGAGAGAGACAGAGAGAGGAGGAGGGATGGGGGGAAGACAGAGACAGAGACAGAGACAGAGACACAGAGAGAGAGAGAGAGACAGAGACAGAGACAGAGACAGAGACAGAGAGTGAGAGACAGAGAGAGAAGGAGGGTGCACGTCGCCTCGGCGGGTAAACCCACCTATTTCAATTTTGGGCCGAGTGTCAATGGAACTCTCCACCTCTTCAAGCACAACACCGCTGATAGAGGGAGCGAGGTAGGAGGGAGGAAGGGAGGAAGGGAGGAAGGGAGTGAGAGAGTGAGGGAGTGAGGGAGTGAGGGAGTGAGGGAGGGTGCTCTTCGCCACGCTGCGCGAACTCACCTATTTCCGTTTTGGGTTTAGATACTAGTAAGTAGGCAAGAGATGAGGAAGATATAGGAACGACGAGCGAATAAAAGGGGTAGGAATAAAAGATCAATCGGACAAGGGAATAAAAGATAAATCGGACAAGAAAGGGACGGAGGAGGAGAGGAGGACAGGCGGGAGAGGCAGAAAAATGATGAGGCAACCAGCACGAAGGCGACCAAGTTACTAAGTAGAGGATGGAGGGCGTCAGGAGGAGGAGAAAGAGGAAACGGAGGGCAGGAGGAGGAGGAGGAGACGGAGGGTAGGGTGTGAACAAGAGGGCCGGGCGGAGAGAACTGCAGGTCCGCAGGGGGGGGAGGGGGAGGCGGGGGGG